CTGGGTTAAAATTCCAGCTAGAGTGAGGGCTGGTTGAACGCAATCCAGCAACAAAGCCGGGAAGCGTGTCTTTCCGCAGCCAGCAGCGCTCTAAAAACGCCACGCGAGATAGGAGCTGAGGAGAGCGAGTTCTGCATCTTCAGATTTTAGGATTGGGTTGGTTCTGAGCTGAAGTTTCCCTCTGACTCGAGCACGTTCCTGGTCTCTCTGTGCCTGGATCCCCTGCAGATGGGGCTGCGAATGCCTGGAGGAGCCCGGTGCACTGCGAAGGGCAGCGCAGGCGCGTGGCCGCAGGCAGAGCCAGCTCGGCTGTCCGCGCTGCCTCCTTCCCTGGGCAGGGGACAGGTCTTTACACAACCCAGCGACCCCACACGTTAGCATCTCAGGCTCTGTTTTAAACCTTCCGAGGTCGGTTTATGGCCTTGTTTCACTGCTTCCCGGATCGCTGGTCTGCCACCTTGCTGCAGATTCACTCTCCCCTCATCTCCTGTGCCCGAGCGAGCTTGTTTCCCTGCAGTGATGGAGCACCGCGGCTAATTGGAGGGAAATGGGAAGGCCACGCCGAGCTGAGCAGCTCTCCGCAGGTGGCGGGTAGATGTGACCTAGTTGTCAGTGGAATCGTCCTGCTTGCCTGGAGACCCGTGAGCTGTTTTGACAGCTGGAGCCAGCTGACCTCTGCGGGGTATCCGGGAGGAAGTAAAGCCGGTGGAGCTGAGGAGCTTCCCCGCTGCTGTGAGCTGGCTGTGCTTTAGGAGGGGTCTTGCCTCCCGCAGCTGCACCTGGGAGAAGCGAGCTGTCCGGGGAGCGAAGGTTGGTGGCCTGGGTAAGGGCAAGGCGTAGAAGGGGCAGGAGGAAGTTACGTCTTTTCCATCTGGACATCGGGATATTCCCTTGGGAGTTGTTTTTTTTGCTTCCACAGCTGGGTTTGTTTGACTGTGTCACTCCCTGTGTAGTCTCTGAATCACGAGCCTGTCTCTTGGTAGGGGCCCGAAACTACAATGCGCCTCGTGGTGTGCATTTCCTAAGGCCGCTGTCTGTTAGCAGGCGTGTGAAGGCTGAAGGTGGAGAGAGGTGGTGAGGGACACAGGTGGTCTTCTCCTGCCCGAGCTAAACATGGAGACAGGGGCGTTGGGTGCAATCCGGTGCTCCGTCCAGTAAGCACGTATGTGAGGCACTGGGCTGTGACTGCCCTGGGAGTGAGGGTAGCAGTGCGGCTGAGCAGCTGTGAACTGGCCCGCTCGTTTTCTAGTTACAAGCCATAGGAAAATGGGGCCGGGTGTTGCTGCTAGCAAGGCTTTCTTCCCTGCTGTGCTGTGATTTTTTTTCATCATAGGACAGAAGCCTTTCCTGCTGCCTCTCTTTTGCTCGAGTAAATAGCGCCGAGTGCAATATTCTGGTTTTTTTGCCGTGGATTAATGGATACCTTATGCTCAAAACCCCTCGTTGGGGAGCAAGATCTCCTTCTGAGTCCTCTTCTCCGCCGCAAG